ACGCCCCCGTGGGAGGGGGGGGGGGGGGGGCGGAGCCCAGCGGGTTCTGGGACTGGTGGGAAGGGCCGCTTGTAGGCGCGTGGAGGTTCCTTGCCTATTCTGCGCCTCGCAGTTCTTAGGAGGCGGGACGCAGAAGGCTTCCCGGTGCCCGCGGCTGGTGCCTGGCAGGGTGCGCTGGCCAGTCCCGGGAGCCTTTGAAGGGGACCGGTGCGATTGCTAGTGTCCTTTGTGACTGGGCTGGGAGCTGCCTTCGCTGGAGGTTTTGGGTTGGTTTTGGGTTTTTTTAGGCTACTTATGCCTGGGGTGGGGGCGTTCATCTCCAAAGTAGCAGACAGGCGAGTGGGAGTTTCTAACGCTGGTAGTTTTACCAAGGCTGTGTCTAGACTGCAGGGTTTTTTCGAAAAAAGTAGCTTTTTTTTGAAAAAACTAAACCTGCATCTAGACTATAGCCGTGTTCTTTTGAAATCATTTCACAAGGAAGAACGCCTTTTTTTGAAAATGCTCTTTTGAAAAAAGGCGTTCTTGAATGCAAACAGGGCTTTTTCGAACGAGAGCATCCAGACTGCCTGGGAGCTCTCTTTCGAAAAAGCAGCTCACTTTTCCAAAGAAGAGATTGCAGTTTAGATGCTCTTTTTTGAAAGAAGCTTTTTTGAAAGGATCTTTCGAAAAAGTCTCTTTCGAAAGAGGCTTGCAGTCTAGATGTAGCCCAAGTGACAATAGAAGACAGTGGGAAGATGAATGAAATCCAGCAACTTCTTTTCTGCAAAGTGCAGCAGTTTGATATCCATTACACACTTTGGGGGTGCCATACTGCAGCAGATTTAGTTGGTCCAGTACAGGCTCAGCTAGTGAAGTATCAGCAAGGACAATGGCCAGCGCAAGATGCTTCAGAGCAATGTGTAAGAGCCATTGCGGTAGGCCCTGGCCCACTGTCTCTAGCAGCCAAAAATTTATCTAACCCTTGCAACATCAGTTTTAATAGTCTTTCCAAAATGTTTACCATATTCTTGAATGAATTGTCCATAAAACTCTTTAATCTTATTAAAGTCTAACCTAAAAAGCATCCAATGAGCAATAAGATCCAGAGTAATTACTATGTAAAAAAGTATTTGCATTATTTGTTTTAATTCCCCACTTCTAAATGTCATTGGATAGTCCTTTGTGCTTGTGTTAGGAGACAGGACCATCAGTTTTACCTTGTCTAATTGCTCTATCTTTATATACTTTCATTATGTCCCCTCTTCTCTCCTTTTTTAAAATAAAATCCCAATCTTGTAATTCTCTCGTCATGTGAGGATTTTTCCATGTCTTTAACTAGTCTTTTTATCCTTTTCTGAACATCCCTCTTCTTTTACAATATTATTTCTGAGATGATGAAACCAATACTCTAGACAGGCCATGCTGTATTAGTTGATATGAAGGCATTATAATATTGTATTAGTCACTATCCCATTACTTATGCATCCTAACATTTTGGGATTTTTTAAACTTCTGCAGCCCATTTAGCCAAAGGTTCCATTGCACTGTGTAGTTATGCCCCAATCCCTTTCCTGAGTTGTGATAATTAATCCAGAGCTCTCTGTAAGATAATTTTTTCCTTCAGTATGTTTTATTTACATTTATCAACACTGAATTTAATTTGCCATCATGTTGCCTATGTGCCTGGTTTGTTGATGTCTCGCAGGTTCCTCATAATCTTTTTGTTCCTGACTAAATAACTTTGTGTCATTGCAAATTTGTGCTTCAGTTCTCACCATTTCCTGACCATTGTTTAATACTAGAGGGCCTACTCTGAAATTTTGAAGCACTCTGCGAACTTTTTACAATAAGGAAAACTAACTAATCCTACTTTTTGCTTATTCTCTCTTTTCTCTGCCAATTTTGTGTTCATAACAGTGATTTGCCTCTAATCCCATGACTGCTTAGCTTCTTGTAGATTTTTGTGTGGGACTTTGTCAAAGGCCTGTTTGGACATCTAAATAAATTGCCATGTCGTTCTCTTTTATCCGTTGTTTTACCCATTACATGTTTTAAAAAAAAAAAACCTGTAAGATACTTCAAAGTTTCAAAAAAACTCCAGTCAATCTGAAGAAGTGGGTTGTGCCCACTACAGCTCATGATACCATCTACATGTTTTGTTAGTCTATAAAGTGCTACCGGATCATTTGTTGTTTTTTAAGTGTATTATGTAAGATATTAGTGAGTCATTATTTTCGTTTGTAGAAACCATGCTGGGCAAACCGTGTCATTATTGTCATCACCTTCCAGATATTTTGTTTTTAATTATTATTTCAAATAATTTTCTGGTTACAGGTGTAATTCTGACTGGTATCTAATTCCCCAAATCACCTTTACAGCCTTTTAAAAATATAGTTACAACATTGGGTTTAATGGAGGAATCACAGAATATGTTAAGATTTAAGCTTAAAACATATTAATCATGAAGGAGGGCACAGAGACACTGCCAATTTGCAATCTAGTCAGATTTTTCTAAAGTTGTTTAATATACTGTAAATTTACATTTGAATATGCCTCTACTCTTTATGATTTTACAATCATAGTTTCTTATCATTTCTGTTTGTTAAAGATTTACACAGAAAACAGAGAAACAAGACTCGGATCTTATTTGAATCTTACATAGCTGGCCTCATGTGCCTGCGTGCAGTTCCACTGATCTCTATAGGAATCACTTGGGCATAAGGATCTGATCCTGTGGAACAACCTGCAGGATAGGGCTTTAAGTATTGTAAAATGGACAAAGTAAGCAAGCTTAAAAATGTTTATTCCTTATAGTTTCCAGTAATCTTAGATGATACATGTAACTATAGTAGATAGGGATGTTAAAATGGTTAACTGGTTAAATGATAGTGCTTAACCAGTAAACCATTTTAACCTAGGACCCACCACCCAATCCTGCTATGACTGGACACCACAGATGTTAATTGGCAAGAGCCAGTTAATATCCCTAATAATAGATATAAATAATTTCAAACAGAAGTGTGAATTTAAAATGGTTTGTAGGATTGTCAGGTTTTGTTTCCACCCGGACAGTTCGGTATTCGGATCCCGTCTGGTTAAAATTAAAAAAAAAAAAACCCAGAAAATCCCGGACACGTGAAATGTCCAGTATTTCCTGTTTCCCTTGGACGGAAGCCTGGCGGGGACAATTTTCCCCTGTCGTATCAGGTGGGGGAGGGAGTGAGGAGTGCAGAGCCATTTAAAGCCACAGCACCATTTTTTTTTTTTAACTTTGGTCTCCCCTTTTTTTCTTTTTTGTTTAACAACTTTGGTCTCTCTTTTTTTTTTTTTAACTTAACAGCTTTGGTCTCCCCCCTTTTTTTTTCTCAACAAAATTTTTTCCTGGTGGTTTTTTTTGGGAGGGGAAAGAGGAGTGTTCCATATTTTTTGTTAAACCATCTGGCAACCCTAATGGTTTGTGTGCATTAAAGTAGAAGGTAGTTTAATGTCTGGGTGAAAGTCAGAATTCCCTCTTTTGTTACAAGTATTTAGGACTACAATTTTAACTGGGCCCCAGTCCGGTAGCTAGGTTCAGCCAAACAGAATTTATTGCAGGATGAAGTCACTGAAAGAATACATAAAAAATTATTGGAAGATTAGAAGAAATAAGTTGTCTAAAAGAGAAAAATCAATGGTATGTGTTGTTGAAAGAATTAGAGGGTGTCTTCTCTGTTTTTGTAGGTGAAAGTCTACATGGTAAGAAATGATAAATTGTGGTCTATATCCTCAGAGGTATTTAGGTGCATACCTCCCATTGAACCTGAATTTGTGTATGTTGGATTCTGTGAGCTGGCAATGTTTTATAGTATTTTATGAAAATAGAACAGATACAAGTAGTGTCTCCTGGATCTGGCTTTTTGATGGTATATACAGGCTCAGTTTTCCATATAATGTTTTGAAGTTGAAAATACTGTGTAGGAAGAATGGTCTTGTGGCTCTTGGAGATTTAGGGATCTAAATTCACCCTGAGTTCCTACCACAGATTTTTCTCATGACTGCTTACTTCAAGATCCTCCTGACCATGAAAATTATGCCTATGATACCCACTCCAGTCGTTGGGAGATAGAAAGGCATGACTCACCTGCATAGATCCATTGTAGCAATGGCCTACGTTGTTTGCTGCCTCACATCTCCATTTGTAAAATGCGTATTATACTTCTGAATCTAAATGAGATCTGACACTGCTGGTCAAAACCGTTCTTACAAAACAAAGGAGATTTAAACTAAAGATTAGAATTGTAGGGGAACACTGTTTTGTTAAAGAAAGGCTTTCAAATTTCTGCCAAAAATCTAAAATCATTCACTTTTCACCTGTAGGGATTGTTTGTCTGGATTTCTCAGTCCATGTTTGCTAATTCCTGAAGCTGTTTCTCGTAACCTAGGGTTTCAAACAACCGTGGCCTATGTGTGCGTGTGTAGTGTCATGCAGGGGAGAGTGCTTTATATACTGAAAAGCATCCGTGTCCAACGAAATTGCCGGGAGGAGGGGGACTTTGGCCGCCGCTTGTACAGACGCCATGGTGAGGGGGGGAGTCGTTTAAAAGCGCATAGTGTGTAGTGGCACAATATGCGACTGGCACATTTCCCCACCGAAGGAAAGCACCTTTCAATAAGTGACTACTAGCTCTTTAAGAGCAGAACCCTCCCCGGAGAGACCTGGAACTCTTGCGACAGAGAGCGATTGTGACGCAATCAGCGGGCGTTCGATGGAACGCGTCAGCCGGTTCCAGCGGGCCGGCGGGAGGGACGCCGTCTACCCAGCAGAGGGAGGGGGAGCGAAGGGGGATGGGGGAGCGGGGGCCATGGCTCCTGCTGCCGCCACCGCCGCCGTGCAGCCGCCAGAGATCCAGTTCGCGCAGAGACTGGCCGCCAACGAGAAGCGGAACCGGGACCGGGCGGTGAAGAAGCTGCGCGGCTACATCAGCCTCAGGACCCGGAGCCCGGCGGGTAAAGACGGGCAGGAGCGCGGTGCTGGGCGACGGTGGGGCCGGCACATGGTGCTGAGGCAGGCAGCCTGAGGTTTGGTAGGGGAGACGAAGCGGTGGCAACTGCGAAATGGGGGTGGGGTTAGGAGTCGCACATGGCTGGGGTCAGGGTAAGGGACGGAGTAGCTGAGGCAAGCACGTGGTGCCACGAGAGGCATGGGCATCAGAGAATGAGGGCGGGCAGGGCAGGCATGAGGGCTTAGCCCTGGCAGTAGAATGAGGGCGGGTAGGGCAGGCATGAGGGCTTAGCCCTGGCAGTAGACTGCTGAGGGGCAGTGGTGTTAGGGAAAGGAAGTGGAGTCACAGAGTGTACGAGACACGTGGAGTTGTTAGCCCTGAGAATGGGGTTATGCTGCACATGGTGTGTGGTGCGCAAGGCCAAATTAAGAAGGAGTAAGGGATGCTGCTGCTCAGATGGGAGTGGAGCTTCTTGTACTCTCTACCTTTTATAAGAAGAATTTGTGCGTTCACTACTTCATGTCCTTATTTTATATTATTTTAATTTATATTTACCATGGGAAGAATTTTTTTCCTGAAATATATTACTACGAATGTGGAGGAATAATTAGCGGCTTGGCTCCTAAGAACACAGAGACTTCAAGTACTGTAAAGTAGACAATTACATGGATGTTTAGAAATATTACATATTTCAGATTCTGTTTTTTAAATGGGGAGTATTTCCAGAATCAGTAATGTCTCTAGAACCAGAATGAATTTTTTGAGATTGCTCATAAAAATCACTTTTTGAAACAGCATGTAACTCAGTTATGATTGCCAAATGGAGACAACAAGCATTTGAGCTCACATATGAAGCATCCTAGTTGGATATCTGGGGAAATGTTAAGTGAAGCATGCTTTAAAGTTGATACCTGACGGAGGCCTAATGTATACTTAAAAATTTGATCAACCTAGCCATGTCTGCTCTGAGAAACTTTGCATCCTGAGTGCCATAGGTATGCTGACTTAACACCCTGTCCCTGCTGTAAATGGCAGGTAGGTGAGCAAAAGAATTCTTCAGCATAGCTAGTGCTTCCCAGAGAGGTGGACATCAACAGAAAAGCTCCTTCCATCCATTTCAGAAGAATCTACGTTACAGCAGCAGAGGTGCGGTTCCATAGCTGTACAAACAGTAGTGTAGACCTACCCTGAGATGACTGTGTGTAATTCATAGCTGTTACATGTTTTCTGCCTGCCTCTTCAATAGGGTTTACATTTCAATTTTATGTAGGAGCACCCATTTACAATATGACTGTGTACCAAGCATCTTAGAAAATGTCTTTGTGTAGCTGGTGTAGGCAGAATCCAGTCCTATCGATGTTAGCAATACTAGGCCGTATTTTAACGAGATTGGCGCACAACCATATTGCATACTTTGATATATGGCTGCTGCAAGAGCTAAACCCATTTTTGTTGTTTTAAGTGAAAACTTAAATTCTGCAGAAGGATGAAATGTGCTAACATAAATCCATTGTATGTGTGGAAATTTAGTATGTGCAGATTACCAGGGCGCTTGTTAATATAATTACAAAACATTTAGATAAATATCAGCACTTTTTTTTCTTAATTTGTGCTCTTTGAGGTTTTTTTCACACTTTTTTAAACCTTACAATTCAGTGATCAGGTGACTGAATGGCTTAACAGGGAGTAGCAAGAGCTTTCTGTGTCTTCCCATCCTCTTATATAGAGTAGGAAAACTTGCATCAATACAACTGTAGTGCTGTTTATACCAGCACAAGCCCCTAGCGCAGAGACACTTATCCAATGTGACTTACCTTGTTGACTTTCTCTAGACAAGTGGCATGGGTGCATTCTGTTTATACTGCAGGTTTGCAGCTACCCCTGGGCAACCTCTCCTTCCCACCCCCACCAGGCTGGGTTGGCAGTAGGGAGTGCAGCCCAAGAGGGGTCCACACAGTGGGCAACCCAGCCTTGGTGAGGGCTGACGGCAAGGAGCGTGGCTCCAGCCAGGGCTGGAGGCAGCGGGGCCGACAGCCAGGAGTGCATCCCCAGCCAGGTTGTCACAGTGGGAGGGCACTGCCTAAGTTGGGGCTGGTGCGGTGAGAGGTGCACCCCCAGTTAGGGCTGAAGGCAGCAGAGCTGGCAGCCAAGAGAGAGCCCTGGCCAGGGCTGGAGGCAGTGGGGTCAGCAGCTTGGCACGGCTGTTCAAGGCTGGCGCCAAGGGAGGGACAACCCCAGTCAGTGCTGGCATGGTGAGAGGCTGGAGGCAGCAGGGCAGGAGGCATGGAGAACAGCCCACAGTTGGGAGCAGAGCCCACAGCCTGGTAGGGAGCCTTGACCTCCACTGGTCTGGCAAACTCCATGGTTTTTGCACCACTCAGGTCTCGAGGGTGCCGGACAAGGGAGATTTGGCCTATAGTTACTTTTCTTCTCAGAAGTATGTGTGCCATAGCTTGGAATTGAGCGTAAGATCACAGCGCAAATTCAAGGCACCATTAGAGATTCTTGAATTTTTAGTAACACATCTTTTTCAGTGTGGTGCCATGGAGTTTGTTGGTAAGGGATCAACTATAGGTACAATCAAAAGAACTTAATTATGATCAATGATTAAGACTGGGTCATGCTAAAAATATTAAATGTGATTCAGTCACATCTCTTGCTGGTCTGCGTTCTAACATTGATTTACCCATACATAGCTGCTGACTACTGAGAAATGAGTTCAGTATTTGAATTGCATTTAAATAAGATTTCAAAACACAGAATGTATTTCTGAATGTATCCATTGAGTGTTGGTGTTTGAGTGTAGTGATAGCCACTTACTCTCCCTGCTTTATCCTTAGCCTTTCTCCTCCCCTCTCATCCTTTTCATGAAACATTAAATATGATGCCCTCACTTAAAATAACACTGGGACTTTGTTCCCTATGGTGTGTGAGGGGTGTTTTTTGTGTGCAGGGCTGTGCTGACAAGGGGATGGAATAAAACAGCCTAACAGGTTTTTCCCATCTGTGACTTCTTCAAAACGCTTATTACTTTATATGAGACAAGTTGGAGGCTAAAAGGCAATGTGTCATTGCATTAAATGAGTTTTTTCACAAGCAAAACTGTCATATTAGCTTCAGTTCCATTCAAAATAGAAGGAAAAATGTGTATTTTAAAGGGGTGGAAGTGAGTGAATGGAGAATGAGAAATCTGCTTTTAAGAATTTGGAGGAAGTGATTTTCTTTCAAATGTGTAATTTTTTTATTTATTGCACTCTAGGTGGCTTCAGCCAAGAAGAATTATTAAAAATATGGAAAGGATTATTTTATTGTATGTGGATGCAAGATAAACCTCTGCTGCAGGTATATTATCCAATTGTCCTTTTTTGGGTGAGGGGATGAGGGGAAGTTGTGTGTGTATATAGTAGATATCCTTCTAGAATGCACCATGAAGATACAGTTCCCTTTCATTTGGGTAGCAACACTGATTTAATTACATTCTTGCCACATTTCGTTCATAAGGATAAGTTGGAATTCAACACATGTGGGAGAGTTAATTGTAACTGGCAGTCCTTCACTAAAGGAGGCACCTATAGATTTACTTGAATGGGAGTGTATTTGAGTTTTCAGCAGCCTATTCTGGGAAATGGACAATCTTTTCATTAACATTTATTTTTGTTTCCTTTTATCTTTTTAAGGAAGAACTAGCAAGTACTATCTCCCAACTTATACATGTCATTCAGAATATTGAAGCTCGTAAGTTTACTATTTCATTTTGTTTTATCTATTTTTTTGGCCTTTATATTTTGGGACTTTTAGGCAGTCATCGGGGAGTCCAGAACAGATATAGATAGGGTTGTTGGGCTTTTTTGTTGTTGTTTTCCAGTTGTCATCCAAGATTTGTCTGTGATTGCAATGTATGAGGCGGGTCTCAGTCACATGTTCAGAATCCAAACATGAAAAAGTTTGCGGTACAACAGTATTTTGATATAAAAAGTGCTCCATATTGCCATGATGGGTATCAATACAAAACCATGAGAGTGCCTTACTACTTCACTTTTATTTAGCTGCTCATTTGCTTTTATATCTTTCACCTCAATTAAAAACAGACATGTTTTTGAACTGTAACAACCTGATCCAGCATTAAGAATGTGTCTGATTTATTTGCTGAATCATGGCCTAACTGGGTACAAGTAGAACTTAGTGCGAAATCAACACTTTTTTCTGCCTCAAGTAGATATACACTTTTCATTTGATCTCTTACAAAGATCAGTCAGTGTAACTGTTTGCAGCACCTATTTATATAAAATACTTGTTTGCTCCTAGTTACTGTAGTACCTGAGCACCTTACAGTCTGTATTGTATCTCCCCTCACAACAGTCTTGAGTATGTGTTTCCAGACTGGTGATGAAACTGCTGGACCAGTATGTGAAGAAGTGTGAAAAAAATTAAGTTGGAAAAGAGGTCTCTCTAGGTTGCTTGCGTTAACACACAGTAATATTAGTGTTGAACATGCATATTCACTATTTTAATTCTGTTGCAGAGCACCTGTTCATTCAGACCTTTTGGCAAACTATGAACCGTGAATGGAATGGAATAGACAGACTGCGCCTTGATAAATACTACATGGTAATATTAATTCTTTAGGGTGATTTTTTTTTAGTATATATATTATACATGGACAAAGAATGATGATACTGTACAAGAGAGTTGCCATAGCTTTGTATGTGTTTGCAGAAGAATTTTCCAGAGTTGTGCCAGTTTCAGTATGCACAATGCATTTATAGGCCTCTATTTAGGGGCCATGGCAAATGTAGAAGTCATTACGTTATTTTTATGTAAGTGTCTGATCCTGCTTATGCATCTGCTTAGCTTTACGCCACACGGGCATTCTTTATTGACTTCAGTAAGACTATACCTGGGCATAAAATTAAGTACATACATGAGTGTTGGTAATAATATCCAGAGGGCATGTTAATGGATGCCTCATCAAAATTAATATTTACATATTGGTTAAGGTTTTTCTGCAAGGTGTCGTTTAAAAACAAAAGAATTACAATTTGTGGCAATTAAACTTACTACCATGTAGTAGAAACCAAAGTATAGGAGATATTGTGTTAACAGTGAGGTAAATTAATTTTAAAGGCATATTCTGAGCATAAAATATCTATTAATGGAAATACTCCATGAAATGAGATTAGTGTTTTCGTCTTCCAATTTTTATTTCCTTAAAAAAGGAAGCTTCATTCAAAAACTTATCTTATTGGGGTTTTATGGTTCAGACGTTCACTACTCCAAATTGAGAACATCAGCAATGTAAGGTTAAGTTTATTATGGCTGTTACATATGTAGTATACCTGTCTCTTAATTAAATGTATATGCAATGGGACAAACTAATGTTAGTGTGAAGCTGTTAACATTTTCAATTGGTTTGAACTTATTCAGTTGGAATTTTTGTAAACTGGGAAATGCACCTTAACTGATTTGTAGGATTTATGGGGTAGAGGCGGGCATCATAGAACTGTGTAGGGGAATTCACAATGGTTGCTATCGTTACATACCAAGCCAAAGAAAAAGAGTAAGTAGAGATGCTGGGGGAACTTCAGGTCATACACTGCCTGTACCCCATCTCTTTGTAATGGAGAAACTTCTCATATGTTCATGAAAGAAGCTTTCCAGCAAACTTTCTGGGGCCATAAAAAACTCAATTAAACAATAACTAGTTTATTGACTCTGTTAGAAAATTGCAGTATTGTATAACAACTCTTCTGCTTTATAGCTAATCCGCATGGTTTTGAGGCAGTCCTTCGAAGTACTGAAAAGAAATGGATGGGATGAAAGGTAAATAAACGGATGTAATTGTACAATAAAGAAATTATGCAGTGTGCCTATATCAAAAATATGTAATGTGCCTTCTTTCTCTTTAGGTAGCTCTTTTAGTCATGGGCTTTCTTTGTTCTGCTTAAGCCTTTTATGTATCACATCTCTTGTGCTGTCTAGTTTACTACAAGTTGCACCTAAGTGGTCTAGCACCCTCAGAACCTGACTGGTCCTGAATAAGGATGTTAAGTATCAGCTAACTGACTAATCGAATAGTCTATACATTTTTGCATCAACTATTCAATTAGTCGATAGGGTGGCTCTGCCTTTGAAGTGTAACAACAGCTCCTAGGGCTGTTACTACACATCAAAGGCAAAAGCGCTGCATGGAGCCTGGGGTTAGCTGAGGACTCCCCAGTTGATCCCGGGCTCCACTCAGCACTGTCTCTTTGAAACACCACAAGGAGCCTGATGCTGGACTTCCCACAGCGTTTCAAAGTGGCAGCACTGGATGCAGCATTTCAAAGCGTGGAGCCTGGCACCTGGCCCCAAGCTTCAAGTGGTGCTACCACTTTGAAGTACCGCCCCTTGCTGCCTCTTTCTGCTGGAGGCAGCAAGATGGGGGAAGCGGCTAACCCGTTCTGGATGTAGAGCCAAGATGTTAGTGCACCCAGCACGAAGAGCCAGGGCAAAGTTGTAGAGCCAAAAAAAAAAAGAGCCTGCCCCTTTAAGAAGCACATTTCTATGCTTTTTGGTCTTAGCAGGCTCCTGCTGGCCGCCACCATATTGGAAGCACCAGACAGCTCCCCTGCCCCGGTGAGCACAGAGGAGCCATTCTTAGGAGCGCAGGGGCGGTTCCGTGAGCCACACTGATTTTGGGGGGGGGGGGGGGGGGGCGGGGCGCGGGGG